ACACGATTTTTATGTGAAATGCAAAGCATAAATTTATTTAAACTATAGATAACATTAAAACATTACGAGATCCCGGATCGAGGAACAATCAAATCATTAAATGTTATATTAACAGACGTTATTTATATTTATATTACTAGTATCTCTTTCTAAAATTATTTTCAGAAAATATCATTTTGGAAAATACGTTATAAGCTTCAAAGATTCAACATTATAGATGAAGTTTGCTGTAATTAATACTGATTATATCACGAATCATTCCAGCATTACATTCATACAGTTTTATATATCAATATCCTTTTGGACCATCAACTACAAAGAGTCCTTAAATGTATGTTTCACTATTTATAGTTGGACCATTCACCAAAGCAATCACCTTTGTACCGATATCTGGAATTTACTTCTAATTAAAATGTTACAGTCCATGTAAAAATCGAGGGAGTGGAAATCAACGTATCGTGCCAGTATTCCTAAATTTCATAATTGTAGAGATAAAAATTCATTTGAGAAGACAAGTCACGAAATGGTACAAAATTGTCAACTTTGCGGATCTCGATGTTTTAAACAGATTTGAAAATAGTTAAATGATGGCTCGAGTGCCCTCCATTTTCACATGAAGCTCAAAATACCATAGACATCGAGCACAAAAGCATTTCAACGTGGAATGGTCTGTATGTTGTTTGGCATTTGTTACCTCATACATTGCAAAAATGTGCCGTCTAAGTATATGTATTTACGTAAGTACATACATAAATCACTAAAATATCACAATTATTGTTTCATTCACTCATGTTTAAAATTTGTACTCGATCTCTCGATATTCACATAAAACTGTTGTTAAGCACGACATCCTTAACGACCTATGTACGACATATTTTTTTAGGAATAAATACAGTATTTGTAAAAATGTTAAGTACACTTTTCGGGGTGAACGGGTAGGGGTTGAGGGAGGAGGGAGATGGGGTTAAGGTTTGTTAAAAAGTGTTCAATATGTAAAATAATCTTTTGTTATAGGGATCGAAAATTTTGTTTGAGATTTTTTTGGTCTTACCCCATCCCCCTGAAATATGATTTTGTTAGTGAGACAATGATGTGTGTAAAATTTAAAAGTTTAAAGTTTTCAGGATTTCATTACACTTTCAAATATAGTTGCATTTCATTATTTTAGAAATATTGTCATAAATAATGAGCTTTATGTGTTACTTTTGAGAATATGCAAAAACTCATCAAAGATTTATCATTAAATACAGAGGAAAAATGATTCATTACCGTTATAATTTAAAGCATTATCTTTTAGTCAAGCAGGTTTAACAATATTTTAAAAATAACGAAATACGATGTTCTATTGTTTCTAAATTATATACGCATTGTTTTCTCACGAAGCATCACAACTTGGGGAGGTAAGACTATACAAAATATCGAATGTCGAATAAGTGTTCAATCATGTAATTATTAAGTGACTTCCCACACAGTCGAGTCGTCGCTGTTTTTATTAGCTCTAGGACCTACGTCCACGTGAGCATCCAGACCATCGCTCACTTTGCTGAACCGTCTTGGCCAGCTACCTCTGCCACCGCCAGTTCTCCCAATGCTTCCTGCTTCTCTCAGCATCGACAAAATGTCATCGTCATTTTCTCTGCCTTTCAAACCTTTCTCATATTTTGCTTCCTGCGCGAGCAACCGTTCTCGTTGCAGTTGCGTTCCTAGGGAATGTGGCACCGCTGGTATTATGTAGCTCATTATTCCAGTTAGGGCGAACACCTGATTATTAGAACAATAGTATAAGTAGCAACATGTGGTAAAAAATACAATCTTACTGTTTGCTTGCGTTTTGCGGATCAAAACTTGTGGATTCATTTTTATAACTATACGTTAAAATCAATATAGACAAATATTGTTTAAATTCGGCAGAGTCGTCCGAATTTGTAAAACTTCGATAGAAGATTGACGCTTCGAATATCAAAAAGGGTTTTCGAAAAAATAAAGCTTAAGAGTCTGAAAGTACGTTGTGATATAACTAATGTCATATGTTATAATGTCAAATTGTTATATAACTAAAAGCCCATAAATGCTTTCTTATGAATTTATGACAAGAATACAAAATATGATTTAAACGCAGCTAAATATACTTATAACTTCATTTCAAAGTAACGCCTGCCTTTGTTGATACAAATTTGACATCGACGAGTTAGTGAATTTATTGTTGATTTTATAGTTGGTTGCGATTTTCTCTAATCTCTATGCAGGTGATGTTGATTTTTGTAATTAATTCGTCTCTTGTACGTTAGCGTTATCATATTAGATCTACCGGAAAGTTCTGTCCGATAGTGTCACTTCAAGTTTTAATCCATATGCACATGTTGATTTGAGACATATATGACCATCTCTATTTATCATTGCATTTGCACACATGTACTCTCCTAAATAAACTGAAACAAAGATGTCTCATGTCATTATTAAGTGAGACGCGATCGTGAAAACATGGCTACCGATGATGATGCCAGACCACATGCTGCTTTGGCGACTCGTCAGAAAATCGCAGAGCTAGGCTGGGAAATTCTGTCGCATCCACCATACTCCCCGGACCTAGCACCCTCCGATTATCACTTGTTTCTCTCTTTGCAAAACTTTTTACAGGAAAAAAAATTCAAAACTGAAGCTGATGTCAACCAAGTACTAGTTGAGTTCTTGGCTTCTAAAAATGAATCGTTTTTTTAAAATGGCATTTACAAGTTGCAATCACGCTGGCAAGAAGTCATAAGTAACGATGGAAAGTATATTCTACAATAAATATTATTAAATGTATGAAAATTGTGTTATATTTCAATTCAAAAACGGACAGAACTTTCCGGTAGACCTAATATCTTGTACATTACTCATTTTTGTCATAACTTCTGAACAAATTATTTATGGACTTTTTGTTATAGAACATCTATCTTTAGTTTTATCTTCACTTGTGGAACACACTACCGAAGTAAGTACGGAAAAATGCGAAACAACCTGTATATTCTTTGAACAGTCTTGAAATATTATTGAGAACTATTTAGAGAATTATTCAACATCAAAATCTAAAGAGATCAGAAGATATGCTTCGTAAAAGTTGTCTTCATACGACTGCATTCTCAATTTATTTATATTTCGATATGTTATTTATTTATTTCAAGTTCAATATATGCTTATGAGCTCGAGCCAATTTCAATAGCTTTCAATAAAATGCCAATCAAGTGTACTTACTATGTATGTATCTATCTAATCATATATTGATTATAGACGTAGAAACGTGATGCAATTCTACGTATCAGGTGTTCGACAGATTAATAGAACGGAAACGGGCCATAATTTTAACTTTAGTATCAGTGAAATCTAATTTTGAATTATTAAAAGATTTAGAGCGGGACGCTCTTAGTGTTATATGTACGACTCCAATTGCGCATATTTTTCTTACTTACGCAAGAAATTAGTAGCGAAAAAATATAAACTTGTCTTAAAAAATAGCGTTTACAAAAGAAATAATTATTTATCAAATATTTACTATAGCCACCTTCATTTCTAAAAAAATAATGTAGATAAAAAAAAATGACAAACACAATTGCATGCTATCAGAAAACAATATAACCCTTTCCTGTATCATTTTTTTTTCTAATGTTTAATATTTGCAAGAAAAAGGTTGGCTAGATTTAACGCGAACACCCTGTATAGAGTTCGAGCATACTTGGAAGTACCGTTTATGTTCCTCAAATTATTTACCAAATGTGAAGTATTTTCGTTCAAAGTATGAATGAAAAAATTACAGTAAATTCTCCCTAATTGACTCTCAGCTTGAAAATAAAAATGGACGGAAAGAGGAGGTAAGATTATTCGAGTCTCGCAGCTTATAATATCAGTGACTATAGAAACGAGCCGCGAGGATCGAATAATCGTATCTCCTCTTTTCAAATTGTACATTTTTTGTTTACAGACTGGGGAACAATTTGAGAGAATTTACGGTACGTGCTCATGAAACATTCGAAATTATCCAGCTAGATTCGTACCTACTTGTAACATACAAAGTGTCCCAAAATTTACTCAAAATCGGGAAATGTGAGATTCCTGAAGTTATTTGAATTCATCTGGCACGAGACAGCCGAGCTCGCCTCTCATTGGTCACTGTTTTTCGTCAATAACTCGTAAACAAAGCCGCGGATTGCATTTGCCCTAAGGAAAAAGTTACTTCAAATGACTTCGGGATCCCCTTATTTCTCGATTTTGAGTAACTTTTTGAACACCCTGTGCTTGTGATCCCATCTCCACGTTCAACTATAGCACGATAGCTGAGTAAGTGGTTAGTGAAAATGAACGACATGCACAAAAGTTTATACGAGTACTCACGAGATGTTCGAAAACGACCACAAAAGCCAAACGAGCTGCGAAAACGTGCCAATACTGCGGACTAAGACCATAGGGATCGGTCGGATGTTCGGGACCATTCCTGTATCCTCTGTACTGGCAAGTTTGCGGATGTTTCGTCCGCGTTTGGCTCTTCATATCTTCCCGGTAATCCGACGTATTAAACTCTGACAGAGAACTGTCGATGTAACCGATCAGATCGTTCGTTGGAGAGTAAACGATCGCGTATACGCTTCGTGGAATGAAGTCCGATGTATATGCGATGACAAATGCCTTGGGAAACAAAATAAGTTATTTAAACTTTCGTTACATTGAATTGAATATCTGTATTTGAATTTTCCATGTTACGGTAACAGCGGTAGTACAATTAAAATGATTAACTATATATATATATAGTTAATATATAATATATAATATTAATATATATATATATATATATATATATATATATATATATATATTATAATATAATAATAAATATATATATTTATATATATATATAGTTATATTATTAGTTATATATATAGATATATTATTAGTTATATATATAATAGATATATTTCTGCCTGAATCCTGATACGATTTCGCCCAAGTACTCAATTATCAGTATTATCTACAAATTAGTTACTTAAACTTTTGATGAATTGAATTGAAAAATTTGAATTTTTAATGATATGGTCATAGCGATAGTACAACTTGAGTGAATGACTATGGCAAGTTGCCATCTAAATTAAACAGTACAATAACGCGAATAATGAAATTCTTTTGTAATTACGAATTACTATTTTATACTCATGGGGTCTTTTACAATTATTGGTACGTACGTTCGACACCACTGCAACGTAAGTTACTCCTCGAAGTATGCCGTACCAAGCACCAATATCTGCCACTCGCTCGGCTAATGGCCTCCTTGCCTCTCTCACCATTTTATAGGCATCCAAACGTATCTCCGCTATATTATTCAACAACGCGAATAACGGTGCCAAAGGAAACGCTGCGACGAACAACGTTACAAATCCATACTGCAGTACTATGAACAGAAAAGAAAATAATTACGTTTATTATATCTAGACTTTTTCAAATGTAATAAATGAATTTGTCCATATGGGGATTTTAAGAATAAGAAATAAAAACGAGGAAAGATTAGAAAATAGGGATAATTAAAAAAATGGGATCATCGTAAAACTGATTCGGTTATATTTCAGAAATGGGCAAATTTTGTTATAGAGACAAAGAGTTTCGTGTAACAGATAGAAGATGAAAACGTGAACACACCTACCAAAAACTCGAACGTATTTGATCGGAAAGTAGTAAGGGAGAATGGAGTAATGGCGGTCTCTTTATTTTTGCACAATGTGCGACAATTTTAACGAATGAGATGGTTTCATTTTTTAAATCGTACATTCTTGAATATTATTATATTCTACAATGTGAATTTATATATAATTATTTCAGGTCTGTTTGAAACAATGGATTTATTTTCCGTTTACAATATTGAATTTAGTCAATTAGTAATATTTTTATTCTTGCACATCGTACGATAATTTTAACGAATGGCTTAATTTCACTTTTTTAAATTGTTCATTCTTAGATATTATTGTATCATGCAATTTACATATAATTGCTTTAGTACTGTTTTAAACATTTTGATCGATACTTTCTAACATTTATAAGTTTCAAGAAAATTATTTAAAACTACATTGTTATTACGAAATGGTGCTTCTAAAAATCGCCACTTTTTCGGATGTATCCTAATTATTGATAATTATTGGTACGCTACTGCGAGATACACGACCATTTTGTCTTCACGTGTCGTTTATGTAATATTTTGTTACATACATATGGTATAAGCGTCAATTGTTAGACTTTTCTTACGGTGTGGCTGTATTGAACCAGTGACAGACGTCGCTGTTTTTCGTTAATAGTTCGTAAACGAAGTCGCGGATTGCATTTTTACTAAGGAAAAAGTTACTCCAAAAGACCTAAGGAACCCCTTATTTCCCGGAAGTACCATAATTTTGGGGCACCCTGTATATGCATCTTGTGTGGCTATGGAATCATGCATAGGATTCTTTCGCAAAATATAAGTGATTTGTCCACTAGTGCGGGCAATAAAAGTCAAAACTATTTTTTTTATAACCTTAATTTGACCAAGTAAACGATTATGGATATTATTATTTTTGTTTTTAATTTATAGTTTATTGCCTAAAGTTTAAAACATATACATTACCCCATATTTTGATCGTATTGCAATTTTTGCTCGAGTGACCGCCATTACCCCCTTCTTCCCTAAATAACGCATTAAAAAATTCGGACAGATTTTATGAAATAAAAATGGTTAATTTTGTAAGTCCCAAAATTATCAACAGTCTTGTTTACATGTTAATTCTGAACAACATGACATATAGAAAATACAACTGAAATGTATTAGTTAACATTGGAAATAATTACGTCTGTCCTGTTTTCTAAATTAAAATTATGTTACATTCAATATTTTGCGATAACTATTAAGTTTCAGTTTTGTATTAAAAAATTGTCTATGCTAACGTAAGACAAACGCGAACAACGAAAATAAACTAACAAAAAAATGAATTAATTTTTAAATGAAGTTACCTTCTCGTTTTGTTATTATCAAATTGATCGCGTCCAAAGGGAACAGATAATTCGAATAACACTTACTCATTTCTAGATACTCGTCGAAGAGAGCGAGTCTTCCAGGATCCTGCAGATGGTAATCTCTTTCCCAGCAAGTCTCGGATCTAGACTGGTCCTTCGTGGCCGCGTCGTGACTCCTTTTGCGCCACCAGTTTCTCATTTTCGGGGATAATATCTCCACGAAATTGTTGAAACACTGTTTGCCCACCATTATAATGGCGAGCTGTATGCAAACCTCCGATAGGCATCCAGCTGGATCACAAACGTCCGTTTTTATGCGAACGAAATCGGAAGTCCTCGCATCTGTGTCCCCGGGGTGAACGTAAAACCTACCCTGTAGATTAATACAGACTGTTTTTATCACGAATTTCGTATTTACGATTCGTTTTGAAAACAATGGTTTTACAAACAAAAATTATCTTCGCATAATTTTCTTTAAAGAAATCTAATTCCATTTCATTTCACTACTTTACCGACATAAATGTTATGTATTAGCAGGGCTGGGGAAAATAAATTTTTGAAATAGTAAATAAAGGGTCTGAAGAATTAGTAAATATTCTTCAGACATTCTGAAATAAGGATGAACAGCGTGTTTCTTAAAATTATCACTGTCACGTGGTAAAAAAAAAATCGTAAAGTTCACGCTCCGTGACTTGTTCATTGATTCGAACGCGGCTCGGAGCCCTCCTGTCAAGCTCTGCGGTCGGAGCACGTTGCGCTCGAGTGATCGGCCACGTTGTAGTTCGCGCGCTCGCCTCTCATTGGTCAGTGTTTTTCGTTAATAACTCGTAAACAAAGCAGCAGATTGAATTTTCGCTAAGGAAAAAGTTACTTCAAATGACCTCAGCTATCCCCTCATTTCCGTATTACGAGACATTTTTGGGACACCCTGTACTTAAGAATGCTATTTCCATATGTAAATCTATTTTTCCGCAGCCCTGTCTATTAGCTTGAAATCGAAATACTATTCTATTTTTCTGCTTATCAATATCTAGTCGTTGAAGTAAATACTACATGAGTATAGAACAAGTATAAATTTTGTTTTCTTCTACAAAATAACGGTGCGTTAAATACAATTGTAAATAACTGACAGATATACATATTGACTAAACGATTAAATGGTAAAACGATTGTAGAAATATAGAAATAACTAGAAAAATGATTAATTAGTACAAAGTTTACAACAGTAACAAAAATATTTCTCAATAATAGTGATTGGATAAAATAATTCAGAACGGAAGTTGTTTCTTACTCATCGTAGTTGATTCATATTTGCAACATGTGCAATGTGCATGCTTTTTGACGACTACCATTACATTTATGTTACAATATTATAAACGTTATGTATCGTTAGAAACGTTATGTTAAATTATACTACATTTTAATGACATAATCCTACTAAACAAAATATGTATATATATTTAGAGCTTTTGCACTTCTGTTTATTAATATCACAATTAAGTGACCAATTAGTTTATAAGTTAGATAGTTTAATGTCCACGTAGATGTAAAATATTTAATATCAGATTATAGAAAATATATGGTTACGCAGAATATTATTTCTTCTTGTTAATAATATTAACAAGTTATTGTTATCGTTGATTAATTAATATTTGTTATAACATGCGAAATTCTCACTGAACTTTATTGGACGTTTCGCTAGATCGACATTTCTGGATGATTACATGCTTGTAATGCGTGCAAAACATGTGCATAGAAGTCCGCCGTTTGATAGAACGATCTTGCATAATTTTGTGCGCATTTATTGGTTTACGAACCTTAAAGAAGGCAATGTAAATCAACGACGAATAAAAATTGACGAACTCGAAGAGGAATATCTTAAAAGTGTAACTCGACTCGTATTCGGTCTGCGTCCTCGGGTTCTCCATGTTCACCATCCATCGCGCCAGACGATGGTACACCCTGGTGAGTGTCATGATGATTATCAAGTTGACAAAGGCAGCGGTCATAGAGGTGAAGATCTTTGCGTGCTTCTTCAGGAACGGGCCTCCGCTGCTGTAGAACACGGCCACTAACGATATTCGGTAAATGATCGTGCCCAGCACTGCAGCCAGAACTACACATATCTACGCACAATCGTTCCATTAATTTCATTGTTACCTATTCTTCGATTGAAGCTACCTGAAGCCGCAACAGCTATCTACACAATTCTTAAGGCGGGATTTCTTACGCGCGTCCGACCCATGCGTTAGACACGTTTGTGTACTGATGTAACGGAAATTAATGCCTGTTTCTTTATGAGCGATTTTCAAAAGTCGCGTAAATAGTTTTCTATATTAACGCTTTTGCTGTTCAACTTTATAATTGCTCAAATCAAACTCATCCGAAGGACATAGTATAATGGGTCGCTGAATTCAATCTTTCATCAGCAATAATTCCTTGACTTTCAGCCGAAAAGTAATAGTTTTTGAAATTCCTTGTATTTCAATATGTAGACGACTAAATACTGATTAACTTTAACCTTTTAGGTACGGCTGAATTCTGTGCGAGGCTATTTCTCTGGACGGCAGAGTGTCTGTATATTCTGTCTGTATATTGTTAAGATACAGTTGTATTGTTAAGATAAGTCTGTATATTGTAAATCGATGTGAAGACAAAATAAGTGTGAAACAATGCATATGAAGACGATTATTTGATTTAAACGATGACCGAGTGAGCTACTAGAGTAAGCCACTATTAGTGGTGCGTCGTTCAGAGAGATGCCATCCGCGGAAGCCACTATAGTGGCGCGTCGTGCCTAAAAGGTTAATTAGAAATATTTTTTTTGTCAGACTGTTGAAAGTGCTTGAAAAATTGTGGCAGCAATTACGTGTCGCATCCTGTATAAGACTTTTCTATTTCCATACGTTTTCAATTCGAGGGCACGGAAATTGGAACAGACACGGAAACTGGAACATCTACCCTAATAATTAATTGCTATTAAATCCACGGTGAAATTGTTTCATTCAATTACCATAAAAAACACTATGGAACCAGTGGCGCAGAAACGCATCGCCTTGGACCAGGTGGGCAGATAAGGCTCCCGTTCTCTGGTCACGGGGTTTATTCGGAACGTCTTCACCGTGGTTTCAAACTCCGGTCTAGGCTCCTCGTCGCTCTCAACATTCTGCAGGTCCCACTCCCAAATTATGACAGCCTGTCGGCGTTTCCATAATTCCAAGAATGTCGTTGCTGCACAGAACGAACAGATTATTTGCATTAGCAGGGGCACGCGCGACCTCCATTAATGCGGTGTGTACTTTTCGCGTATAGTACCCCAGAAAGACATGAATACAGCGAAGAAGACGGTGGCAGGATTATCGAACAGGTAGGTGAGCTTCGAAAAGATGCAGGATTCGCCGAGCCTCTGATAGTCGCATGCTTTGTCACAAATCGGGCACAACGTGATGTTTCCTGAAAGGAAAGAAATAACATTCGTTGAAGTTGAGACTAGGTCGAAATTGCCTTTCGTTATACAGGGTATCTCAAAAATGTTTCATTGCTCTTGAAAGTGGCGATTCATCCGGTCATTTTATTCATTATTTTTGAACAATCTCCAAGCACTAATAAATCATTTTTTAACACCCTATTAGTCGCGGTTAACATCACAACATACAGGATGGATGAAAAATCATGGTACAACCTGCCAGGGGATGATTCTACGTGCAAAAATAAGTTGAGAAAAAGGATAAAATCTGTTCATTTAAAGCTCCGTTTTCAAGAAAAGATACGTTGAAAAAATAATGGAATCAAGGATATATATATATATATATATATATATATAATATATATATAATAATAAATAATATATAATATATATATATATATATATATATATAATAATAAATAATATATAATATATATATATATAATAGGAATCAAGTGGCGGGTCTGACTATCGCATACCAATTCTACTTCTCACCATACTGATGGATCTTCAAATTTATTTTTCTCGAAAACGTAGTCTTAAATGAAAACCTGTTACTCTTTTTTTTCGACTTATTTTTGCATGTAGAATTATCCCCTGGCCGATTGTACCACGATTTTTTACCCACCCTGTATATGGAAGGAATTGGAAATTCGTGTTCGTAAACATACAATTCACAGCAAAAAATTAGAATTGCACTTCCTGAAGAAGTCTATGCCGAATAGGTGATTAGTTGTTGGAACGTTAGCTGTCGCACGGTATAATAATCATTAAAAAACCTCTAAGGGCAATTTTGACCATCTTAAACGGCTAGGCCCTTTTTTCTTCTCTAGGCCCTTTTTTTCGCCGAGTTGGAAGAAACTGCAGGTTTACCTATAGAAAACCTTGAAAACTCCAGAAAAAAGGGTTGACAAAAAAAGATTTGGTGAACAAACTTCTTTTGAGGAAATTCTTTGAGCTAAAATGACATGTTTTTTTTTGTATATTATCATTTTGCTTTCAACGTCAACATGAAAAATGACTTATTTAACCTTTTAGGCACGACGCGCCACTATAGTGGCTTTCGCGGATGTCATCTTTCAGAACGACACGTCACTATAGTGGCTTTCGCGGATGTCATCTCTCTGGACGACGCGCCACTATAGTGGCTTGCTCTAGTAGCTCACTCGCTCATCGTTTGAACCAAATAATCGTCTTCATATGCATTGTTTCACGCTTCTTTTGTCCTCACATCGATTTACAACAGTCTACAGGGTGTCCCAGAAATGTCTCACAATCCGGAAATGGCGGGTTCCTCGGTTCATTTGAAGCAACTTCTTCCTTTACAAAAATTTTCTCCGAGGCACCGTTAACGAGTTATTAACGAAAAACAGTGACCAATAAGAATCGAGTACGGCTCACGCGAGGCGGCCCAGCCAACCAGCGCGCGAAGCCCAGTTCCGCTCATTGGCTCGATCGCCTCGCGCCAGCCGAGCTCGCCTCTCATTGGTCACTGTTTTTCGTTAATAACTCGTTAACGGTGCCTCGGAGAAAATTTTTGTAAAGGAAAAAGTTGCTTCCAATGGCCTGAGGAACCCGCCACTTTCAGATTGCGAGACATTTTTGGGACACCCTGTATATACAGACAGAATATACAGTATCAGACTCTGTACAGTACATATCAGACTTTGCCGTTCAGAGAAATAGCTTCGCGCAGAATTCAGCCGTACCTAAAAGGTTAATGAGAAATTACCAGCGATATTTCCGTTGCAGATTTCTTGGCTAGGTATATTGTCGGTGCTGTCCATACTTCCCACGCCATACATGAAGCACAGAAGCCCGACGACCGCTGGCGCGTACAAGCTCTTCGTGTAGAACCCAAGCCACGCGAAATATAAGGCTACCTTCTCGCCGAAATACCGTCTGATCAACCAAAGCGGTTGTTTCTTGTACCTAAGAATGCAAAACACTGCGTAAACTGATTCATAATTAGATTACGGATCTTCAAAGATAACTAAAAAATTGTCCATATCCATTGCGGCGATAAAGAAATATATGCTTTATTTTTTCTTTTAACAGTTTTAACACTGCGACGGCGGGTTCGGATCAATTTGGATCTCGAGTATAAATATTGATATTTGGCTACCTAGTTTCTGAGAGAGAGAGAGACAATTAATCGAAATTATCACGTATTTCGTTAAATAATTGCGCTACTATTTCTTTCACAGCTACGCTGATTAGCACTCCTTTGTCCTTGAGAGAATAAGATAATGGGATAATTCCTAGAGTTTGATAAACAGAAGAATCAACTTTTGTTTCTACTTAAAAGAAATAAATAATTTTAATATTTAGTAGATAATATATGAAATCATCGCCACTAGTTTTACTTTTTGTTACGGTATAAACAAAATTTTGTTCAGAAGGTATACGTTAAGAAATAATTTGACAAAAACTGATAAATAAAATTATAAATGATCCCAAGCGTACTCGTTTTGTCAATAAGGTCCGTCGTTGCAGTATTAATAAGTTGAAGATTATTTTGACATTTGTACTGTTTTGTATTTCATGCGATCATTTTTGTATAATAACATTAAATTCGCAATGTTATGATGGTACTTACAAGTAGATAATTTTAGATGGAATTTTACATGTACGTCTTACAAAGTAATATAAGTTGAAAGAATTAAATAATAGTTGATATTCGCTAGCTAATGAAAGATATAAGAAAGAGGTTATTATAAAAGATATAAGAATTAGAGGTTACTCCGGAGAGTGATGTTTATATGTCAAGATAAAGGGTCATCGAAGATTGCTCCCCCAAACGTAAGGTTTACCATAAATAGTAGCAGAAGTAGAAATAGTTTACAACGACACGCGACGTAAAACGTCCATCATAAAAATGACATTTTCATGAAATTACCATTGCGATGGTCTTGCCCAGATTAAGTACAACAAATGTCTGTCGAGGATCTCCCCATTGAGTATCGGCTTATTGTAAAGTCCTTCATGCAGAGCAAAGCAGTCGAGGAAAGTACCATCCGCCAGAAGTCTACGGATACCAGCTTTGTCGTGATGTTCGTCGTACCTAGCCCTTAATAGAATTTGCATCACTATCAGTGACCTCTGCGCTGGCGTGTAAGCCGTGTCCCTATCTTTCACTACGAATCTGTGGAAACAGATAAGAAAATGTATTAGCGTTGAGAAGAATTTGAAGTAGCAGCTACCCCTCCATTTTACATATTTCCTAATTTTAATAAAAATACACGCAACTTGAAAAAACCATATATTTATCATTATTCATATTTTTTTAGAATAATTCTATGCAACTGACTCCCTATTTATTAAATTTTTTAATTTTTGATAAAAATGCATACAGTCTGTGAAATCATAGAACTATCGTTATTTATAATTTTCAGGGATAATTTTCAGTGTAATCGCCCTTCCGTTTATCAAATATTTTCTAATTTTAATTAAAATACAATGCAACTTGTGAAATCATATTACTATCAGTATTTATAATCTTCAGGTTAACTAGTGGCTGCTAATTAATTTAAAGCACACTTCAAACTCGAGATTTCACCTGTAAAGAAAAAAATTACTGCTCCTGTTATGGTAGTTTCAAGAGTTTGCCAAATTTCATTAACGTTAATGGCGATATTACTTCAGAAAATCTGAAGATGTTCTTTGGCGCGATCTTTACAAAACAATGCCAATAAATTGGACCTTCTCTATCATTACTGAATATTTTATCCTCATCTAAGTTCAAATGAGAAGTTTCAAATCATGCGAGTTCAATCACCTTTCTTCACGGTCTCCAGAATCGATGCTTTTATAGAAACTAGGCTCTTCCGGATACAGCCGTACGTCCCAAGTGTGTATCTTCCTTATCCATTTTATCCACCGTAAACATTTCTCCCAAAGCTTCGGTCTTTCTTTCTCGTCCTCGGTACCTTGCTAGGAAACACGGAGACGAACAACTATTATTAACCCTTTCGCTACGGGCGGGTTCTCCGTCGCTGTACTTCTGCTGAACGGAGCGCTGCGACATCACTGCACGCTACGCGACGGCGATCGTCAGCGAGAGTTGGTACTCCGCGGCGGTCGGCGGAGAACCCAAGCTGCTTGAATTGAATGAATTTTTCGAACGAAAAAATTTTTCTCCAAAGGGTATTTATAAATAAAGGGTATTGCAGGGTATTTTATAACGTCTTAGCATGCGCTTTTTAATTTACAGTATGAGAGGAAATAACATTATGCAATATAATGCATCTTATGGAAAGCCACTATAGTGGTCCGTAGTACCTCAGTGGCACCATATGGAAAGCCACTATAGTAGTCCGTAGTACCTCAGTGGCATCATATGGAAAGCCACTATAGTGGTCCGTAGTAGCGAAAGGGTTAAAACTAAAAAAAAATTTTTTCCATTTTTTCTTCGAAATTTCGTAGCGAAGTGCTAGGTGCTAAGTGCTAAAGCAGGGCTCGGAATTAACCTGCACGCAACATTCAGATCGCGTGGGCCACGCCTCCTGACTACCGCCGCGCGTCTCGCTTCCCGTGGTCGCCGCTTTCGGCTCGGAGCACGCGCATGAACCTGTTGCTTTAGATGTGTGCATGCGTGTGTGTGTAGCATTTAGGTGATCAGCAAGAAGCAAAACGCGCGACGGGGTCAAGAGGCGTAACCCTGGCAATCCTCGCGTTCCATGCTGGTTAATTCTGAGCCCTGTGCTAAATTAAGGGAACTTCTTAATTTTATTGGGTTGGCAACAAAGTAATTTCGGTTTGCACCGATAGATAATTTTATGTTTGCATTGTCATGCTTCTGTTAAAGTTATAATTTTTTTGCCTTCAGCTTTGGTAGTTGACACGTTTAGGTTACTATAGAAACAAATTCCGCGTAGTTTTGTTTATAACTGATAGTTTGCTGTCAATTTTAACATGGAGTGCAAAAATGAACATTTCCGAAACATTTTACTTTTTTATTTTCATAAAGGTAAGAAAGCGGCCGAGGCTCACGAAGAGATACGTGAAGTTTATGGCGTCTATTGCTTAACAAAACGCACGTGTCAGAATAGGTTCAAAAAATTTCGTTCTGAAGATTTTTCACTTAAAGATGACCAACGTTCTGGTCGACCTTCTGAAGTCGATGATGACAAAATCAAAGGCATAATTGAATCGAATCGTCATATAACTGTACGAGAGATTGTAAAAAGATTAAATGCATCGCACACAACAATTGAATATCACATAAGATGTCTTGGACTTGTTATTAGGTCTACCGGAAAGTTCTGTCCGATAGTGTCACTTCAAGTTTCAATCCATATGCACATGTTGATTTGAGACATATATGACCATCTCTCTTTATCATTGCATTTACACACATGTACTCTCCTAAATAAACTGAAACAAAGATGTCTCATGTCATTATTAAGTGAAATGCGATCGTGAAAACATGGCTACCGATGATAATGCCAGACCACATGCTGCTTTGGCGACTCGTCAGAAAATCGCAGAGTTAGGCTGGGAAATTATGTCGCATCCACCATACTCCCTGGACCTAGCACCCTCCGATTATCACTTGTTTCTCTCTTTGCAAAACTTTTTACAGGAAAAAAATTCAAAACTGAAGCTGATGTCAACCAAGCACTAGTCGAGTTCTTCGCCTCTAAAAATAAATCATTTTTTAAAAATGGCATTTACAAGTTGCCATCACGCTGGCAAGAAGTCATAAGTAACGATGGAAAGTATATTCTACTATAAATATTATTAAATATATGAAAATTGTGTTATATTTCAATTCAAAAACGGACAGAACTTTCCGGTAGACCTAATACATCAATCAAAGCATAACAATTTTGTGCTTTATCCAGAAGTTTGTCGGAACATATTTTTGAACATTTTCGCAGCCTTATTGGTCCTTCTGTTGTTCCTAACGCAACGGCAATTTATTTTATTTAATTGTCGAAAATTAAATAATTACAGTAAACGATTTGAATACCCTGGGTCAAAATGACCCGGCGGCCGCAGTGCGAGAGTTCAAGTTTGAACTCAGTACTCAATAAATTTAACTTTTACTTTCAATTCAACTTTCCGGTAGACCTAATATAATATAAAGCTCGATGGATTGGATTCTGCATGAATTGAAAGAAATTCGCTTAACACAACGAATCAGTATTTGCGATACGCATTTTAAACGTAATGCAATCGACCCTTTTTTGAAACGAATTATCACTGGTGATGAGAAATGGATCGTTTGCAATAACATTAATCGAAAAAGGTCATGGTCCAAGTGTGATGAACCAGCACAAACATCAGAAAAAGATCATGCTGTCAATTTGGTGGAATTGCGATGTAAAGGTGTTGTGTACTTTGAGCTGCTTCCAAAAAAACAAACGATCAACTCAGATATTTACTGCCAACAATTTATGAAATTGGAGGAAGCAATCAAAGTGAAAAGGACAGAATTGGCAAATCGCGAAGAAATCGTGTTCCACCACGACAATGCGAGGCCTCGCACAGTACAAAATTATTGGAGGCTGGTTGGGAAGTGATGTCGCATCCTCCATATAGTCTCGACCTTGCACCAATGGATCATCATTTATTACGAAGTTTAGAAAACTTTTTAAATGGTAAAAATTTCAATAATAACGATAGCCTCAAATCGCACTTGTTCGAGTCTTTTACTAAAAACCAGACCAGAAGTTTTATGAGCACGGAATCATGAAGATACCAGAAAGATGGCGAAAGGTCATCGAACAGAATGGAAAATATTTGAGTTGTATTTCACATTGAAATACCTAAAGTACTTTCCTGCCAACCCAATAGAACAGCCAACGGAGTTACTAATGACTATTATAAATATTTGGAATTCAGTTTCTCCAGCGAAAAGGAGAAACCAAAACTTTTTTGACGTTAGGTGTAACTTGGTAAAATCCCGCTGAAAATAAAGTTGCAAAATGTTATAAAAATCTGTCATTATGCAATTGTAAGTAATAAAAAGAATATGAGATTATTAAAATATGAGATGAAATATGATAAAATGTGTGATTATTAAATATAGTAAATTCTCTCTAATTGACGCTCAGCTTGTAAACAAAAATGGACAGTTTGAGAAGACGAGATACGATTATTCGAGCCTTGCTGCTCGTTTTTATAGTTATCGATTGTCAACAATTATGAAAACATGCCGCAAGGCTTGAATAATCGTATCTCCTCTTTCCAGATTGTCCATTTTTCTGAACAATTTGAGCGTCAATTAGGGAGACTTGGTTGCATACTTGGTTGCATACCATGGTTGCATACTTTCTTAAGTAGGCTTTTAAAAATTGACTCAAATGTAACGGTCTAAATAACAGTAGTAAGTTTGAAGAATAGTAACTTTACTGAGTCCACTTTGAAAAGCTTACTTAAGAAAGTGTGCAACCTTGGAAGTCTCAACGAAATAAGCGAATCTAACGTTTTTTTTTCTTGGATCATAATTATTTGATAAAAATCCAGGAATTTCACAGGTAAGCAACGTTTTAACTCTATTCTCATGTTCTATTGCTCAAAATGGCAAAATTTGTACAACAGTGTACGCCTCCGTGTCCAGCGAGATCTTATCAATTTACAGCAAACATCAGCAAAGTTTGACTGAATAAAAAATAAACGTTAAATATATCTCTTGAATTGTTGTTTTTTTTAACATTTGCTTTGCCTGAACTGAAACGTGGAAATCAGTTTTGCTTTTTAGCATTGGAATCGTGGGCAGACGGATAGCAGTTTATAAGTTCATCGCAGATCGATACACTTAAAAAAATGATCAGTATACAATGGCCTTGGAAAGTATGTTGGCAGTTGGCATCTTTTCGAACGGAATAACTTTTTCAAAATTCGTCCAAATCACGTCGAAATGAGCCAACGAAATTTTTATAACAATTGCGATTGGTTGATAAGATAGGAAAATCAGAAAATGTAGTTTTTTCAGCTATTTTATCCGAGCCTGTAATGAAAATTTGAGAAATGCGTTTTGTAGATCTCGGTAACTTATATAAATACCTGCTGAAAATTTCAATGGAATCGATTAACGTCGAGTCAAGCTACAGGCATTGAATGATGTAAAAATTTCTTAGTCATCGCTCGTAAAAATCTGCGAATGTCACGATCTTTAATTGTTCCTAGCTCGTAACAACGTTAACAGACGTCGAATTATAAGCATGCGTGTAAATTACCGAGGTCTTTAAAACACATTGTTTCAATATTCGTAATAGTCTCGCGTAAAAAATTTGAAGAACGCATTATTTTATTTTGTTGTCGTTTTTAACCGATCGTAGTTCTTGCAAAAATATTTCTGCACATTGTCCAGTAAACTAGTTTTACCAATGTCTAAAAAAAAGTTCAGGTCATTTGGTTCAACTTTAAAAGAGTTATCACAGTCTTTGATCAAAAGTTGTGAAGAACCGCGAGTTTTGCTATTTTTAATTGTCTGTAGCTCGCAACAACGTTAACCGATTTCAATGCAGCAAGCACACAAGTTATCGTGAGCTATAAACGGCATTTTTTAAAGTTTTCTTATAGACTCTCAGATAAAAAAGCTGGAAAACGTTTTTCAATTTTTTATCATTCTAATCAGTTGCAATTCTCTCAAAATGTTTTATTCATTATTTAACAAACTAGAATCAATCTAACATGTGAACAAATTCAAGCCGTATGATCAAATTCTTAAGAAGTTTCACATTTTATAATTTTGAAATTGGAATTATCGAGACACTTTCATAGGAAATAATTGAATAAATTAAAAAATATATTCTTAGTCCAAGTATACATTATGATAAAAATGGCGCAAGGTCTAAATTAATACAGTCTTTTCATCGTTACAAAGCAATACACATCGTGACTTTTAGAATTCAGTAGGTTTAGTGTTAATAGGTGTCAACTTATATTCCATGGTGACCGTGCATTTTAATGCAGCTACAACAGCTCTAGTGTATTTAAGGGCTATTCTACAAGGTGTCTCAGAAATGTCTCGTAATCTGGAAATGGTGGGTTTCTAAGGTCATTTGAAGTAACTTTTTCCTTAGCAAAAATGCAATCCGCAGCTTTGTTTACGAGTTATTAACGAAAAACACTGACCAATGAGAGGCGAGCGCAACGTGCTCCGACCGCAGAGCTTAACAGGAGGGCTCCGAGCCGCGTTCGAATCAATGAACAAGTCACGGAGCGTGAACTTTACGATTTTTTTTTTACCACGTGACAGTGATAATTTTAAGAAACACGTTGTTCATCCTTATTTCAGAATGTTTGAAGAATATTTACTAATTCTTCAGACCCTTTATTTACTATTTCAAAAATTTATTTTCCCCAGCCCTGCTAATACATAACATTTATGTCGGTAAAGTAGTGAAATGAAATGGAATTAGATTTCTTTAAAGAAAATTATGCGAAGATAATTTTTGTTTGTAAAACCATTGTTTTCAAAACAGATGCGAGGACTTCCGATTTCGTTCGCATAAAAACGGACGTTTATATTAACGTTTGTATTAACGAAAACCACTGGCCAATAAGACGCGAGCTCGACTGGCGCGAGGCGGCCCAGGCAACGAGCGTACGAAGCCCAGTACCACTCATTGGCTCGGCCGTCTCGCGTCAATTGATCTCGCCTTTCATTGGCCACTGTCTTTCGTTAATAAATCGTAAACAAAGCCACGGTTTGTATTTTTGCTCAGGGAAAAGTTACTTCAAATGACCTCAGGAATCCCCCATTTCCGAATTGCGAGGCATTTTTGGGACACCCTCAGTGTGAACTTTTGAAAAAAATCAATTTTTTTTCTTTGTATATTCTTGAAGGATATAGTTTCGGAATTACATCGCTTATCTAAATTAACGAAGTTATCGTTGCTTTAAGAACGCGACTATCTTGTATCATTATCGATATATTAAACTTTAAAGGCATTTTTCTCGAAACTATGTTTTTTAAAACGGTGCCCATGATATTTCAAAATTAATTTGATCTATTGACACAAAATTTTTAGTACACATTTAGTACACGTCCCCCCTAGAGAGTCCCCTACTAGAGTCATTCAAAAATTTTTATTTTTTTCTATTTTTTAAGCCCCTGATGTTTAACGAAACATGCGAAAATCGATAATTGAATTTCAAAATATCGCCACATTTTTTAATTGTCGATCTTTTTCTTTTGTTATAGTACCTGATAAAGTCAAGTTCACAGTAATTGTGGAACTTCCACGATTTTTTTTTTATTTCGGACAAGCAGAATGGTCTTTTTTAAAAGCAACTATATTCGAGAGTATGCACTGCCGCTGATTTTAACTTTGTTTTGTTCCAAAGAATTTTAAAACGTCATTGAAACACGTACAAATGGACCTTGTCAATTTGACTGTAAAAGGTATAACAGTTTCTTTGCAAAAAATTCCCTAATAAAGTTAAAAACGTACGCACTAGAATACCACCTTAAGCGTTAAAAGAATGAACGATTTGATTTAATTTACCCAGGCTTTCACAGAGATCGTGATGAACCTTTTGGTAGGCAACTTCAAGTTCATCACTTCCGCGTACTGCACCTTGATCTTCCACGGTATATGCAGCTTCAGGAAATAAGTTTTTCCGTCGAAGGAGTTCTCTTTCGACTCCAATTCCAATTGCAGACCTTCCTTCAACAGATTTTGTTGGAATATGTGCCTCTGTTCCTGCCGACGTGTTTCTATCTCGGTCAGCACCGTGTTATCGTCTTCATGGTACGCTAACACCATATCGATCCGTCTTCGACCATCCCTATGAATAAATTTGTAAATTTCATAAATGATGAATGATCACAGATCCAGTCGAACAAAATCGCCGTGTTCGTCCTTCGGCCTTATAAAGTTGCGAATAAACACAGTTGATTATTTGCAATGCAATCGCCTTGTCGCCGAATCTGTGTTTGTACAGGATGTCCCAGCATCGGTGGTACAACCGAGAAGGGCGATTCACACCCGCTGCTGGCAACACCCTGTATAAGTTACCGAGATCTACAAAACGCAATGTTTAAAGTTTCGTTACAAGCTCGCGTACAGAAAAGTTAAATTGTTTTGCTCATTGTCTAGTGAACTAGTTGTTCTTACATCAAGAACAAAATTGAAGTTATTTAACCAAGTTTTAAGAAAGTAATTCCGTTTTAAAGACAGTACGCAAACTTTTACTAGTGAGCGTATGTTCATAAACCATAGGTTGTTATCTACAATATTTAGCTTTTTATTGCGGCATGTCCGAGAATTGTACATTTTCCGGAACAATGTTAAATACAAAAGTTATTCGATTTCAAAAAAGAATAAACTTTTGCATGAAACATCTTTTAATCAGATTTCGATCTTACAGGGATATTTAATGAGACGAAAAATTTGTTTACTTATGGAACTTCTTTATGGTTTTCCTGATAAATCAATAACAATTGCACTTTTTCACGTGGCTTCTTTTCCACATAAAGAATCGCTGCAGTCGCTTAATCGCCAAAACATAAACAATGTGGGTCTTAGTTTTCAAAATTTTTCATTTTGTTAAATACAAATGATAATATTTGATTAAAGAATGATTCATAAAAATGTTTATTCTATTTTCGCGTAAAAAATGTGTTGTTTTCGAGACATTTAGATTTAAAGTTTTCATGTGAACATCCTGTATCCTGTTATCTATATGGTTGCATATAAAATTTAAATCAAAATATCTCAAAAAACGAAGACCTAGTTTGAAAAATCCTAAATCTTATAGTGCACATCAAGGGGAGTTCAACTACCTTTGACACTGGGACCATCAAATGACCTTAATAAATGGAAAAATCACGCTAGTTCAAAGGCAATGTAGAAATTTGCAAACTTTAGTTTTTCGTAAGTAAGAAATTTATTTATGCTATAATGACTTCCATGATCTTCAATGCTTGAAAAATATTACATCGAGAGAAAAAACAATCATGAATCATAATATTCTTAGCTTTGAACTAAATTTTTTCTATATCAGCAGAAATAATGAAGATATTCTAATGTGCAGGATAATATAAACACCCTATATACTGCAAATTTCGTTCAAATCGATTGATGTTGTCGTGATCTATGAACAACTAAAGATCGCATTCTTTAATGACTTTTGACCAATAACTGTAAGAAATCCAAAGATTGTTTTAGTGACTGTATGTATACATATATCATGTATATCATGTACCTGTATCATTATATTGTGTATATTGTGCATATTATATATGTATTAGGGGGACCGGAAAGTAATGCCGTTTCTACGCATATTTATCTGTTTGAATTTAATGTAAACAAACGACATTACTTTCCGGTCCCCCTAATATATTGTAAATATTGTGTATATTTTGTATATTGTGTATATTGTGTATACTGTGCATATTATCAATATTGTGTATATTTTATGTACTGCGTATTTTATTAATGCCATATTTTCACGATCTTTAACTATTTATGGCTCGTAACAACGTTAACCAATTTCGACGAAATTTTACCGAAGTTTATAAAGCACATCGTTTAAATTTTGATTAAAGACCCAGAGATAAATAAGTTACACAATTTTTTCTTCGTATTTCCGTCATTCTCCAAACAATTGCAATTCTTGTAAAAATATTTTTACACGATTATCCAGTAAACTAATTACTCTAGCATCTTCAAAAAATTGGGGAAGTCGTTTGGTCTAATTTGAAAGAGATTATTTTTAAACGAGATACTGTACCGAGAAGACAAATTGAGTACGTTGAGAAATGTTCGAGAATCCGGTTTACAAAAAATCTGACGGACGGTTATCTAGCAAACGATCGAGCGAATTCGTACCGTGTATTCGTCAAGACGAAGATCGTAATAAGATCGAAATAATCGTCTAATGATAGAAGCGTATTAAAAGATAAAATCACAATTCCGCAATTCGCCGATGGTATCGGCGATATATGGGACACGACGGGAAAATGAATAACGTAGAAGTAGTTTTTATGTGTCCAGCCTTTTCAAATATAGCCCGCGATGTCTAAGAATAAAAATGGCCTTTAGGAGCGGCGTTTCCATTGTCTACTATTATAACAGAGTAGCTATGCACAGACGACCGTGACACGGGCGAAATGTTATACTCCACGCAATGAGCTTCAGTTTCTCGCTTGTTTAATCATTCACGGAAAATTTCTCTGCGACCGACCGCTAGTGAACTAGTAATTTCACTTTTATACGTGCAAAGTTTGACCGGTATGCTCTTGGAATGATATTTTACAGCAAATTGCTGGTCGTACACCGTCAGCACATAACCCATTTCCATCTGAAATTTGCCAGTGCGATGTAGTTTTCTTGTATACAAAACTTAATCAATGTATACTATACGCACAGCCTCACAATCTATTTCTTAATATGAATTTTGCGAAATATAATATTGCTAATTAAAATTTTACAATTCTTAAAAAATTACTCCGCATCTTCTGATTCGGTGTTTCCCGTTTCTGTAGGTTCGGTTTCTCAGTTATACAGTGTTCAGTTATAGAATCGAATTTCCTTTTTCATTTTTAAGGGCCACATGTGTTGCTTTTCAGAAAAATGTTCATTGGAATTTTTTCCAAATTTACAATTCGTATGGTAATTAACAGAATTGCAGTCAAAAGTGAAAACTTTTGCAATAATCGGCATTAAATAATTAATACAAATTATAAACAACGAATGAATGAAACTTGTGTGTTACGAATGAAACTATAAATACTAATTTATAGATTTGGAACTATATATACTAATTTATGGATCTGAAACTATAAATACTAATTTATAGATCTGAAACTGTAAATACTAATTTATAGATCTGAAGCTATAAATACTAATTTATAGATCTGAAGCTATAAATACAAACTTATAAATAAATCTATAAATTCTAGAATTATCAATTTGAATCTATAAATGCTAGAATTATCAATTTGAATCTATAAATGCTAGATTTACAGATTTGAATTCGTTACTAGATTCAAATTTGTTACATACCGGAAGTACAATGTCTCAGGATCTAATTCCAATTGTGTGGACGAATCCTTGTGCAGCAAGATATCGTCTCTTGGTATCTCGTCCGGAAATATTGGCGAATCAATGAATGGTGTACTGGTGGGCGTGGCCGATGCTAGCCTCGGACCTGCAAAAATAAAATAACTGTTTAATATGTTTTTAATGTATAGTCGCTGTCTTAACGGTGACCATTTTAACGACTCCATTGGCTGACACATATTATGGTCCATTGTCTTTAATGTTAATTATATAAAATTCTGTTACGGAAAGTATTTGGAATGTTTGTAGGTACTAAAATATTCAAAATGGTTAATGGTTCCGTTGTTAAATTGTAAAATGTATCATGGCAAAGGAGAGATCAAGCTTCGTACATTAATATTAAAGAAGTAGTGCAAAAGTTGTGGGTTCTACAACATCTCGTTAAAATTTGTGTCGAAGCTTGTAGTTGGTGTTCTTATCTTTCACTGTTACAAAAAATTAGTGGCAAAGGGGCTCATGTTGTTGCAAAATTAATTCGTATAATAGAAGGTACTCATGCTACTACTTTAACTACGTTTTTTCGTCAGTTATATATATACATATATAAATATATATATATAGATCTGAAACTATAATATATATATATACAATAGACTGCGGATTTTTATGCAAAATAAAAATTGTCTGCATCATTGCAAGGAATACAAACCAAGTAGCAACTTCATTTTTCCTTTAATCATCTGAATAAATTAAAAATAATGCATTGACGTCTTAAAATTCTTTCAAATTTTTAACTATCCAATTTTATTAAATTTTAACTATCCAATTTTGCCATAGATGCATTAAAATCCGTAGTCTAGTTATTAAACATGCGACAAAATTTTTCGAATAAATATTGTACAGTTCATAACTTCGATGCAATCTTTAAACTAAAGCATACGAAAATCATACGAAAGTCAAATTGTCTTTTTTTTTAAGAAACCGTATATTTTTTGTGCTGTACCATTTTAGTTATTATTTTTTACTGAACTCATTCTTTCTTATAAACAAATATTCAATTGCGAAGTTATATTCGCCAAAACGTGGTTTAAATGATTTCGAAATATTCGACATATATTTTTTTGTTATTTTATAAATATAATTTATATTAAAATAAAAAATAATAAATAATAAAAAAAATATTTTATAAATATAAATAAAATCAGGCCCAAAGTTGGGGGTTAGAACCCGTTCATATTTTTTTCAAACACTTACTCTAATTTACTTTTATGCTTAACTATCATGAAAACATCGAAACACAAATTTACAGTTAAATACAGAAGCGTTTTCCGGGTTGGCAAAAAGTGAAAAAAATATTATATAAGTCGTATTTGTTGCGTTATACCAAGTGAAGTACAGTTGAACTGTGTATCGTGCGAATATCATTTTTTATTTCTAGATGGTGAAATTCTTGACAAAATTATTTTCAAAGAACTTTAGTGTGTGTAACAATACTTTCTTAGTTACACACTTTACTTTTCTGACGAATGCACTTGTGAATTCTTTAAAAAAAAATAAGCAAGGACAAATAGTTTGGTAAGTATTTTGCCTTCCGCTATGTTAGTCATTGATCTAAAGTTCACTATGGAACATTTAATCCCGAACTACGTATGACTTACTAACTTCATAGCTTGAATCGTCATTGCCTACGCGCATATTGATCTGGGATAAAATGTATTTATATCTGTTAAGGGCGTGTTGCGTATTAACCTGATAATAACAGTATTAGCCTAAGTGGTTTGCCATGCCGCGAAGTACGTTTTAAGTAATTGCTTTATCCAAGTTATTCAGTCTCGTGTGCAACGACATTTGTCAAAGTTGTCCCATTTTTTTCTGCCACCATCAAGATATCAATTCCCATTCAATTAAATATATTATCATTTTAAACATTTTCAATGAAATATATATTTTCTGTTGCTTTCGTAGATATGAAAAGGATTTAAGTTTAGTATCCGTGAATAAAAACAAAAAACGCATAATTAACCTCCACTCAGCGCTAATTTTTACACTTCAATGTGTCCACTTGGCATTAAATTGTGCAATCATGTAGTAGAAAAAAAAATTGATTCTCAATTTCTTCTTTGAAAATGAGAAAGTAATATAAGCTGTGTGAAGTTTCGAGTAAGATTATTCCTAGCAATTAAAAGTAATGAATCAGTACGTTGAGCATAACACATTGTTATTCAGTATTATTGAAAAATGTGTGAATTTGAAAAAAAAGGATGGTTCAATTCAACCTCTTGCACTACAAAAACTAGCTAAGCTCATAATGAAAATTGTATACGCGATATACTAAATACGAATGTTACTCATACCATCAAACAAAATTGTATTCTTTTCTTGTTATCAAAATCAAGGAATGAAAGCAAATGTAGATATGAGCCGTTTATTTTGAAAGTGGCATAAGCTGTCTCTTATACACATCTAGATGTGTATAAGAGACAGCTTATGCCACTTTCAAAATCAACGGCTCATATACCTGTCTCTTATACACATCTAGATGTGTATAAGAGACAGCTTATGCCACTTTCAAAATCAACGGCTCATATACCTGTCTCTTATACACATCTAGATGTGTATAAGAGACAGCTTATGCCACTTTCAAAATCAACGGCTCATATACCTGTCTCTTATACACATCTAGATGTGTATAAGAGACAGCTTATGCCACTTTCAAAATCAACGGCTCATATACCTGTCTCTTATACACATCTAGATGTGTATAAGAGACAGCTTATGCCACTTTCAAAATCAACGGCTCATATACCTGTCTCTTATACACATCTAGATGTGTATAAGAGACAGCTTATGCCACTTTCAAAATCAACGGCTCATATACCTGTCTCTTATACACATCTAGATGTGTATAAGAGACAGCTTATGCCACTTTCAAAATCAACGGCTCATATACCTGTCTCTTATACACATCTAGATGTGTATAAGAGACAGCTTATGCCACTTTCAAAATCAACGGCTCATATACCTGTCTCTTATACACATCTAGATGTGTATAAGAGACAGCTTATGCCACTTTCAAAATCAACGGCTCATATACCTGTCTCTTATACACATCTAGATGTGTATAAGAGACAGCTTATGCCACTTTCAAAATCAACGGCTCATATACCTGTCTCTTATACACATCTAGATGTGTATAAGAGACAGCTTATGCCACTTTCAAAATCAACGGCTCATATACCTGTCTCTTATACACATCTAGATGTGTATAAGAGACAGCTTATGCCACTTTCAAAATCAACGGCTCATATACCTGTCTCTTATACACATCTAGATGTGTATAAGAGACAGCTTATGCCACTTTCAAAATCAACGGCTCATATACCTGTCTCTTATACACATCTAGATGTGTATAAGAGACAGCTTATGCCACTTTCAAAATCAACGGCTCATATACCTGTCTCTTATACACATCTAGATGTGTATAAGAGACAGCTTATGCCACTTTCAAAATCAACGGCTCATATACCTGTCTCTTATACACATCTAGATGTGTATAAGAGACAGCTTATGCCACTTTCAAAATCAACGGCTCATATACCTGTCTCTTATACACATCTAGATGTGTATAAGAGACAGCTTATGCCACTTTCAAAATCAACGGCTCATATACCTGTCTCTTATACACATCTAGATGTGTATAAGAGACAGCTTATGCCACTTTCAAAATCAACGGCTCATATACCTGTCTCTTATACACATCTAGATGTGTATAAGAGACAGCTTATGCCACTTTCAAAATCAACGGCTCATATACCTGTCTCTTATACACATCTAGATGTGTATAAGAGACAGCTTATGCCACTTTCAAAATCAACGGCTCATATACCTGTCTCTTATACACATCTAGATGTGTATAAGAGACAGCTTATGCCACTTTCAAAATCAACGGCTCATATACCTGTCTCTTATACACATCTAGATGTGTATAAGAGACAGCTTATGCCACTTTCAAAATCAACGGCTCATATACCTGTCTCTTATACACATCTAGATGTGTATAAGAGACAGCTTATGCCACTTTCAAAATCAACGGCTCATATACCTGTCTCTTATACACATCTAGATGTGTATAAGAGACAGCTTATGCCACTTTCAAAATCAACGGCTCATATACCTGTCTCTTATACACATCTAGATGTGTATAAGAGACAGCTTATGCCACTTTCAAAATCAACGGCTCATATACCTGTCTCTTATACACATCTAGATGTGTATAAGAGACAGCTTATGCCACTTTCAAAATCAACGGCTCATATACAGTAAGCAAACATTGTCTCGTTCAAGGAGGGCAATTGTTGAGAACGGAGAAATACAAGTTAACTTACTTGTATAATGACATCCTATAATATGGTTTCGCTCTAACACGATAAGGATTGATAACGGAATTAACAACTATAGCATTGCAGCTTGGACCACTGTTTCGCTCTAGCACGATAAGAAAATTGCGAAAACCTTTGTACGACATTGTACTTCTACAGCACTGGATAGCATGATTTTTGTTTAACACATTTAAAAACTAAATTATCTCAAAATAATGACGGGAAAGAATAATGAACTATAGTGCCTTTACATGAAAATGTAATTATTATAATTATGGATGTATAAATATAAATCCTTCCGCTGAATGAAGCCGAAAATTCAAAAGGATGCTGCAACATTGTTTATCTTCGTACCACGAAATCTACAATGATGTTGTAAGAACCAGCAAACAAACCAAAATTACAGATCTTTTAAAGAGGATAGAAGGTGCAGAGAATCTGAATGAAGAAGAAGGTTCAGAAAGTGAAGGTGATATCGTTCAACAGAAGAAACGTTCTCGTTTGATTGTAATGAGCAGTAACAAGGAATAAATTAAGGTTACACTAAATAAAAATAATATTTTTTGTTTTTTTTCGTTTTGTGTTATACATACATTTATATTTTCAATAAAAGTTAAGTTGCTTATATGGAATATAAAAATGTGTCTGTTTTTAATAAGTTTTTAATACGTAGCCCCCCCCCCCCCCTTTTGTACTGACTCTGGGTCTCACATGGCACGGTTTTACACAACACGGCATTTTCTAGAAACCTATCTACCGCGTTGTAGGA